AGGAACCTGGGCTTGTGGGCGACGTGAGCGACGTTTGATCATGCATCAATCTTCTTCTCTTCGCTTTCTACATCGTCGCTTTACAGAAGCTTGTCCGTAGACAACCTTTTGTGGGAACCTATCTGTTATTACACCTTTTGTGGGAACCTATCTGTTATTACACCTTTTGTAGGAACCTATCTGTTATTATATAAGAGCCAGATTCAAATCAACCTCGACAATAACTGCCTGTCCTTAATTAAATATCTTAAGCAAGAATCCAAGCAGTGTCCCGAAAACCCGAACACATTCATATCTCTCTCTCACGTTTAAGCATCTTCCCTTGCTACGAGGGACCTAATACTCATCATAACAACAACTACTGCATTATGCATAAATAATTATCGACTGATAACTACGACTACTGAAGGCTATAAACCACCCGGCAGAAAAACTCATCTACTTAAGGAGCAAGTGTACTTTCCGCCGACCAGGTGATTAACTTCATCCTTGCCTATTCGTAGTGAGGCTATATTGCCCCTTTAACTCCATTGCATATTGCCCCTTTAACTCTATTGCATATCCTCCCCTCTACATTAGCTCCTATCAAGGCTGGTATTTATCATCATTCTCACTTTTAGCCTGACCCTTCTTCTTCTAGGAACGGAGGCTTCTCTTCTTAGTGGTACCTAGGGTCGGCTTCTCCTTCTCCTTGCGCTGTCTCTTGGGGCCGGGGTCTGGGAGGGTCTTCTCCTTCTCTGCGCGCTTTCTCTTCTTGGGGATGGGAGCCTGCTGGGTGGGCTCATCTCCGACAACGTCCATCATGTCGACTTCAGCGTCCGCGATGTGCGGCTCCGGGACGAGCTCTTCGTCATCCTCTTAGGGGCCGATGGGTAGGGTAGAGCCAACGCCGTATTCTGACGTGTCTATGACAGACTGTTCGCCTACCGTCATACCAGGGGTTTGAGGAGAGGATTGAAGGAAAAGTTGTCGGTGGACAACTTTTTCAGCTTCGACGCCTGCTTGGCCGGGTGTAGGGGTGGATGGCGTAGAGACGGGCGAGGAGTCGGCCGCCTTTCTGGCGCTTAGGTTAACCCGGAATGGTACCTTCTTCTTAACGCTCGCGGTCGTAGCGATCGGAGTGCCGATGGTGCCGGCCTTAAGTGCGGCGAGCATAGAGTCCCTGTAAAGAAGGAGCAGTCTAAGGTCGGAGGCGGATAAGCCGGATGTCTCTACGACGACCCTTATGGCCTCTGCCTTACTAGCCGACTTACGGGCATTCGCGGCGGCGAGATCCTTGGTCCAGTTGGCTACACATTGCTCCTTCTAAGCCTTCTGGTTCTCGAATTAGCCGCCGGGTAGGAAATCTACCAGGTCGACGTTAAAGTTGTCCTAACTTAGGTGGTCGGCACGCGAGCCGATGAGCATTCTGTATATGCGGGCAGCCTTTTCGTGTATGACCTGGGATTTGTAGGATGGGTACTTGAGCTGCCAGTCCTTCTCCGGAATTTCCTCGTCACGCATCAGCTGTTTAACCTTATGCTGCTCGGCGACAAGGCGAGCGGCTCCGGCAATAATCGGGAGTTGCTTTACCTCGGTCCTAGCTGCGATGACCTGGTCGAAGGTGTTATGTGCAAGGAGGATGAGGATAAGTGCTTCCTCTTCCTAGCCGATGCGTAGGATTCTTGACATTACCTAGAGCAGAGCGGCGGCAGAGGTCGGGAAGTCGATGATGATCATGCGAGACGCCACCTGGAAGTTGAAGGCTTGACCGGCGACGGGGATACTGCTGACCAGGACACGAATAGGATTCTTCTTGTCGGCGAACTTAGTCGTAGCATCCTTACGCTGCTTCGCGGTCTAGTGTATAAGTGACTTGATGGAGACGAAAGGAATGCCCATTGTGTAGAGGAGCACCTCGATGTCGAATGTGTTTTGAGGCCACATGGTAAAGAGGACCACCTTTCTGTCCTTACGAAGTACCCACTCCTGTAGGCATCCGGCGACGAACTTCTTCTTGGATGACTGTGAGCATTGATACGCCACGTCGAGTGCGCGGAAAGCGCTGTAGGATGGCAGCNATGGTTCGGGGCGAGTCACACGGTGGTAATACTCGCTCACACGATCCGGCAGCTTCTTCGTGCCTTTGCCACTGCCGAGGGTTTGGGCGAAGATCTTTAACGCGGCATAACCCTTCGTGTAGAAAGTGTCGAGGAGGGAGTTCTATGAGGCCATAGTCAGACGTCGGACTGAGGCCGTGTTGCCGAAACNGTTGGTGGCGGCGTCTTCATCCGCTCCCTCTACAGCAGCGGCGGCCGCCTTAGTGGCCTCTTCGAGATGAATCTCGCGGTACTTGATGCGCTGTAAGTATTGAAGTTTCAACTCTATAACCTTCACCCGGGCAGGGGGGATTTCGGCGCATNAGATCTGGTGGGGTCCAACTTAGGTAAACGAACCCTAAGCGCGGGCGATTAGGTATAGGTAGAATATAGGTGGGATGATCGCGGCACCGACGCCGGCGTTGTNATAAGCACCCGAGCTCTCTGCCTGCCTGGCGAGATAGGCGAATCTCTCGGGGTTCAGGACTTTAAAGAACTTAGAAAAGTTGTCCGAGGATAACTTTTGCTCGACAGTCATGCCCTTAAAGGCATCTGTTATGTCACTCATCGACTGGACGTAATCATNCGGATCGTCGTCGCCAGCGAGGTCGTCGTGATGGTCGAGGTCNATGTCGGGTCTGACGATGACACTTAGGAGGCCCGAGAACTGTAATAGTCGGTTCGAGATTGGTGTGCCAGTCAGGAGGATCACCGCATCAGCGTTGGTCTCCACCACGGCCTTATGCGCCTTAGTACGAGTACCCTTAATACAATGTGCCTCGTCAACTACGACTCTGCCGAACTTGCCCTGACAATGGTGTTCCTAGTCGGCTGCATCATTCTCGTTTATAGTCTCCATCACCTCGTCGTCTGCATCCTCGCGGTAAGCGTCGACGTTTTTAGCCCCTCCGTTAGCCCTATTCACACGCTTAACGCCCTCCTTCTGCTTTACGCTCCGGTACGCCTAGGTCCCGACAGTTGTGATGTAGACATGGCGCTCGGTGGAAGGGTCGTAGGGGTCGAGGGAGGCGACGTGTTCCTTTAAGTCTTCGATCTTGCTGCCGATCGTTCGTAGCCGCTCGTACTCGGCTGCCGTAGAAGGGGTGTCAAAGAAGTAGTNGACGAACAATTCTTCCGAGAAGTACTTCAGCGCATCACCCTTCTAAGGAAGAAGGGCCCCGGAGGGTGCGATGATGAGTGTAGGCTTGTACTCCATTCCATTGAGGATGCTGGAGCGCTCATTTCGCTCGGCATAGCGGGCGCCGGCGACAATGGTGCTGTAGANAGAGATGGTCTTGCCGAGGCCCATCTCGTTAGCGAGGATGGCGGTATAGAGTGCCGACCTCTCTATCATACGCAGCATAGCGACACCGGTGACCTAGTGCGACTTAAGTCGAAGCTCCTTAGTAAACTGTAGCTCTACGTAAGGTCTTAATGCGGCCAAGAAGGCTAGGCGATCGGTTCTATAGAGGGTCGGATCTATCTCGGGGAGGGTCTCCTTTGACAGCTTAAGGTATACGCAAGCTTCCTCGAAGGTCGGCAAAGGGGTGCTCGACTTAACAAGACCTTACTAGAACTCCAGCTTTGCTTCCCGGTCCTTTTCGAGAGCGTCCGGCGCCTTGTCGACCGGCTTTAGGTTGCTGGCGGCGGTCTCTGCCTCGTCTAGTGCGGTGAGGAC